CACCTACAGGTATTCCAAGTGTGTTCGATTTACCCAGCAATCCCTCTTTATGAACTGTGTCATGGTTTACATCTGTGAGTGGACTCAAGTGTTTTGCTGCGTTCTCTGCCTCAAGGCCGAGTTCACTCCCTGCGTCTACATTGGTTTTTGTGATTTCTGAAAATTTCTGCCATGCAGGCGTTATAGAAAATTTTGCATTTGCAGACAAGGTTTTTCGTAAATTACCGTGAGAAGCCACTCGCCCGTTAGGGGTCCAGTCATCACTATGCCGACTGAGGCTCCCCCCTCTGTCTTTCTCATTCACTTTTCCAGTCTCTGCACTTTTTAGGATTTTGGATCGGATAGTAGCCCACTCAGCCAATGTGGCTTCGTTGTTCAATGGATCCTGAGTGGTCTTCGTTTTACTGCTGCTAAGCCTGGCATCAGGCGACAGTTTTGGAGTATTTTCTGTCAGGGCTACATCCATGTTTTTTCTTTCTTCTGTTAACCCAAGCAGAGACTTACAGGCGGTATCTTTTATCTGATTCAAATTGACTGCGGTGCCACAGAGCTGTGCTCCAGTGACCAAAATGGCTGTATGTGGGACACTCAAAGAGGATGGAAGCGCATGGGCCCCTGTACTAGACTGAGGTGCCTTCAGTTCTTTGGAGGCAGAAGGAGCTGCTGCCTCTTTAACAGGAGTGACTGGGCTCAGATTCACTTTTGAAAAGAGGATCTGTTTTTCTCCAGATGAAACCTGAAAGGTGAATCCCCTGGGCATATTTTGCCTTGCATCGACTTCCTGCCAGCGTAGCTCTTCTCCTAGAATTCTTTCTTGTTCCTGAGCATCAGTGTTACTTCTCTGACTGTGTCTTAATGTTTCATCTTCCTTCTGCTCTCTCTCTGGCTGCTTTACCTTCTGCGGACTTCGTTCTTCTTTAATGGGAAGCTCTACAGTTTCTAAATGTTTCTCTTCTGCATGCATGTGTTTGTCCAGTGCTGACTGGAAGTACTTGTGTTGTTCTTTTGTGTCTTCCAGTGGCTGATGTAGTTCCAAAGTAGGACTTTTCTGTCCTTCTGGTAAGGGTGCCCCCTTTCTCTCTATAAAGTCTTCCTGTTGCACCCTCTTTTCAGCTGGAGGTTGTTTTAATTGTGACAGTTCTCCTTTCCCGTGCCCTACTGGCTTCATCTGCTTCTCTGCTTCTTGCTGGGTTTTTTCACTGTTACCTCTTCTCTCCTGCTCCAGATGCTGCAGTGGTTCTTCTGCCCTCTTTTGCTCCTCCGGCTTCACAGCCTTTCCTTTCCCTTGCAATTTCTCGCCTTCTACGTTTCTGTTTTTCTCTCCTTCTTGTTGTCTCTGCCCTGTTTCTCTTTTTTGCACCTGGAGTACTTGTTGGTTTGGACCATCCCACTTGTCAGTCTTATGAGTTTGTTCTTCTAGTTCTCGTTGTCTCTGCCTTTTCAGTTCCTGGTGCCCTCGTTTTTGTGTTTGCTTCTCCTGACCTTGTCTCTTGTTTCTCCAGTCTTGCTGTAGCAGCTTTTCATACTGCTTTTTCTCCTCTAATTCTTGATTACCATTTTCTTCTTTTCCTCTTGGTTCCTCCATTTCCTGCCACTTCTGCCCCTCCAGTTCCCAATGCCTTTGTTCATCCAGCTTGTGGTGTCTTTGTTCTTCCCACTGCTTTTGTTCTCCCCATTTTTCATGGCATGTTGGTTCTACATGTTGCCTTTGCGCCTCCAGTTCACAGGGCCTTTGTCCTCCTAATGGCTTTTGTTCTTCCTGTGGCTTTTGTTCCTCGGCTTCCTGTTGCTTTTGTTCTTCCAGTTGCATTTGTTCTTGACATTCCCAGAGTCCCTCATCCGCTCTCTCCTCTTCCAGTTCTTTGTGCCTGCAGTCCTGTTCTTCGTGCCTTTTTTCTTCCAGGCCCCTTCTCTCTTCCGTTTTCAAAAACTGCTCTTCCTCTTGGAGCTTTTGTTTTTTCCCTTCTTCTTCCCTTTGACTCTCTTGAAGTCTTTTGTGTTCCAGATGGTGTTTTACTTCTGGTTCAGCTGTTTGTACTTTTTGTTCAGGCTCAAGGCTTTGCCAATAATCTTCTTGCTTCCTTTTTTCTTCTTTCTGTTCCTGGCCTTCTGTATCCTGGATTGGCTTGTCTGCAACATGATGGCCATTGTGTTTTAAGACTTTCTCTTCATACTTCTGAGTTTCTGTGATTTCTTGTTCAAACTCAGTCGTGCTTTGTGACTCCTAGTGTTAGGAAACAAAAACGGACTGTTATCTCTGCCCTTCCCCTTTACAGAATAGCAAGCGGGTGGGTTGTGAACTAACTAGTTAGCTTTTTAGTAGTAACCTTGGAATGTGTTTTAGTAACCTTGGTATGTATGTTAATTTTTTGATCTTTTTGCCATACATTAATGTGCATGATATCAAATAATGTGTGAGAGAAGCAGAGACCCTCAAGGGACTCACGGAAGCTGCTGTCATCTCCTTATAGCTATCCCTACTTGCCTTTTTTCTTTCCCTCACAGGGGCTGGGGCAACAGGTACAGAAGGAAGGATGGAGGAATGAGCGTCACACTTAGTCACATTCTTCCCCATGTGGTGGTCCGAAATGACGGAAACAGCAGCAGTACTTCCTCTTCCTCTTTCTCCCAGCTTTCTGCTACATTGTTGTCTGCCTTCTCTCCTTGGCAGGGTTGGCAGTGGTGGAAGAAAGCAGAAGGCAGAGCCCCTGCCTTTTTGTGTGGGATCCTGCCTTGTTACCCTGCCTTTCTTTCTATTATTTTGGCAGCGGCAGCTGCCATCAAACACTGCCAGCACTCAGTGCCCACCTCCTGGCAGTCTCTTCTCCCCTCAGTAGATCTTTGGGGTTGCAGAATGCTGGCAATGTTTAGGCTGTGAGTGAGCCCATGGCCTCCTGGGCTTCCCACTCCACCCCGATCACCACCAGAGCTCAGCGCTCATTCCCCCCAACCACCACTTTCTTGGTCTCTTGGCTGTCTCCTTCCCCCAGTGCATCTTAGGGGTTGGTAGGAATCCTCCAAGATGGCAGCTGATATCTTAATTTTTTTTTTTTAAGGATTTTAAATCTCCCTCATCTTTAAAGTTTTCAAATGGGGGCTGTCTGGGATGTATAGATAAATCTCCATTTGAACATGTCCTTGTTTTGTGAATTTATTGCCATGTTTGGACTTACATAATCAAGGAGAAAAATCTAATCTTGATCAACCAGATACCAAATTGGCATACTTAGAGATACCCCCAAACTCTTGAATGTAAGTAAGGTGTTTGCCTCATCTTAACCATGGACAGGAAACCGAGGATGTAAAGCTGTACTTTCCAGGGAAGGTTTCTCAACGGCTTCCATCTAAAGTGACAGGTATACTTGTGAAGTTGCACCTGCAGCTGTAAGGGCAGCAAAGGCTCTTTTCCTACTGAACCGATTCTTCCAAGAAGAGTCCAGTTCATCAGAAAATCATCTGCTACTGCTTTTAAGAAGACACACATTGCAAAGCCAGGAGGTTTTATCTTTCCCAGAGATTTATATTATTTTGACAAGAACTTCCTTTGCCTGCAAGTCACAAACAGACTAGAAGAAATTCCAGCAATCAGACTATGTTGATGCTATTGCTAAAACAAAGATTTGTTTCACCTCAATCAACTTGCATTTAGAAAAGCATGCAAAGTGGTTTTATTTAGGAGGGCATTTGTTTCATTGATGGCAGTAAAGTCTTGATTGTGGGTTGTACAAAGATATCAATTTTTGTTTTATTGTAAAATTGGTCTGTAATGTATTATTTATTTTGCCCAGTTATGTGAGCTGCTTTAGCCTTCCTCCCCTTTCAAGGATTATAAACATTTAAACAAATCAATATGTTGCAAGGAATAAACTCTGGATTTTGCCATTTTTATACAAGTGAAAAATTGCTGGATGACAGGCATTTTGTCAATAATGCAAGAATCAGTGGAATCGCACATAGCACATTAGTATGCAAGCTGCTGTGTAACAGAAATTCAAAATGTTTGGTGGGGGGGCAACTTGGTCAGCTTTGCTTCAAAGACAGAAGCTGGGACCTGTTTTTATGTGCTGAAGATGTGTTTTTCTTTGACATTTGTCACTGTTACTGACAGTTGTCGTGACTTGCCACCTCCTGGCTCAATCCACATTTCAAAGGCTTTCCCAGGATGTGATTATCTGTGATCTCAACATGCCAGGGCATTTCTAAGATGAATTCATGCTGATTGTTATGTGATCTGAAGGTCCTTTGGACAAGATATTTCCTGTTTATGATTCAGTAATGACAAGTAGCCTACCATTAAAAATGCATGAGTTCTGGAATATAAAATTTCTGTTAATCTAAAAAAATGTCAGGGCTACAAGTGGTTGAGAGGGAGTTGGGAGCAAAATAATGTATTTCCCTTAGATTCAAGGATAAGAGCCTTGCTTAGCTAGATGAAACAAAAGGTGCACCTAATTCAGCACTCTGGTCGAGACAGTAAACACACAGATGACCCTGTCATCTGAAAATCAAGGGCATCCTCCATCTAAACATGTACCTTCCTTTGTTATCAATTCCTTTCTTATTTATGAAACAGCTACTTATGTTCTTTGCAATCGCTAATATCTACAGACAGTCTTTAATAAAATTAGACACTGCACACATGCAAATAGTAGCTAGCCCCCTAAGAAACTTCCTTCATGTGATCAAGCCAGGACCACCTCCCCTTCAGACCACAAATGGCTAACACAGCTATTTGTAGATAAGTGGACTATTTTTAAAGAGTCCATTGGGTAGCAAAGGTTATAGACTTATTTTCAAGGCTGGATCAGTGGCTATCATAACATCTAGTGGCCATGAATTCAATTAGATGATTTAGTGTGATGCTGTACATATGAATATGAAATAAAGAACTGCCCAATAAGTGTCAAAAGCCTGCTGTAGGCATTTGACCACAAAAATGACAGTTCATTACCTTCAGTAACCTTCTGTGCTTTTTTGACACCCTCTGATTTTTTGGCTTAACAGAAAGTTTGTGCTTTGCTGCGCTGTTGTCCAGACAGGCAATCGCCGGAGGGATCGCATCAAGATTGACTGTCTCAATTGTGCCAGAAGGAGAGTGGTGTCTTTTTGGCCGGGACGACTTGACTGGAGTGACCTGTACACATCACACATGGGAGCAAACTGAGTCAAACACCTGAATTCACAGATTTTAAACATGACCAAGTACGTATCCCACATTGTCTCAGAAATGAAGTCAATACGAACATCAGAAGTTTCATTCCACGATAACCACAATTTTGTAGAGCCAGCTCTTTTCCCAGGACTGCCTCTTCCACTCAGCCTCCTCCACCAGTGTAGCTGAGACCCACAAGCAGCATGGCAGCCATGTGCTACCCACCAGGACCAAATGTTTAGAGGCCTGTCCCATTCCCAGAAACAACCTAGCACTCACTCCACACAGAGTTCTTATCCCCAGTTCCCCTTTGATCTCCTAAGTGTCTGTGTAAAAAAGTAAAGGTTCCCTTGCTCGAAAGCCAATCGAGTCCGACTCTAGGTTGTGGTGCTCATCTCTGTTTCCAAGCCGAAGAGTCAGCGCCATCCGAAGATGTTTCTGTGGTCATGTGGCCGGCATGACTAAACACCAAGGCGCACGGAACGCTGTTACCTTCCCACCGAAGTGGTACCTATTTATCTACTTGCAATTTCTTGCTTTCGAACTGCTAGGTTGGCAGGAGCTGGAACTAGAGACGGGAGCTCACTTCGTCATGCGGCACCCAGGTCTCGAACTGCTGAACTACTGACCTTCCACAGCCTGCAGTTCAGCGTCTTAACCACTTGAGCCACCGCAGTTCCTGTGTCTGTGTAGCAGCAACTAAAAGGACTCAGAAATACATTGGCGCAGTGGATGCTTGCAGGGCAGACTGTTTGGACATCATGAAGTATTATGCCCAAGCACTTCCTGCATTGCTGCAGTCCTTAATTCTGAATAATGACCTGGCTTTCCCAGCTGGCAGGCAGCTTTAATGAATCCAGCCTCTTCCAACACAGGAAA